CTCCTCCTGTCTTGTCTGTCATGTTGACAGAATGTGTCCCCCCTCTACCATACAGTGGAATGTCACAGCAAACACATTTCCTCCGGCCATGTCTGAGTCTATTTAATCAGCCTGTTGACAAACTGTACACAATCTGCAGCCTGTAAACTTCCCCCATCTGCTTTCATTCTCACACTCGATCTGCCACAAACACGTTACCACAAACTGCAGATATTTTCTGTAGAAGTTACCCTCAATGAGAGCTGGGTTTGCTTCTTTTTTCTCTCTCCTGTCAGCTCCCTGGTACCACTGGGTTTTGAAATATTTTAACCCTTTTCCTTATTTGGATAAGTAATGTTGAATCTACGTCGTTTCGGTACTTCTCAAACCTCCTTTTTTTCAGATTTTCTCTGCCTGATTTCGTTCTTTTTCCCTTCCATTGCGCTCCTCATCATTCATTCCTCTCCTCCCCTCTTTTTCCTCTCCCCGTCGGATCGTGTCCTTGACTGAACTCGCTGGCTCTCACAGTCCCAGACAGCCTGGGCAGAATCTAATACTCGTTACTACACAAAACCACGGCCAGCGCCTCGCTCTTCATCGATTAAAAGAAGCCTGAACGACACAGACAAGTTTACCAATGGCAAGAACATAATGTGTATTTAAATATTTTGCACCTCAGATACATACATGATATGTAACAGACAGATATACAACTTGTTTTTTTTTTTGTTGTTTTTTTTTGTCATCACAAAAACCACCAAACAACACAAGACCACAGAAAAAAGAAGGGAGAGAGTGAAAGAAAGAATAAGGCCCCGCCAAGACTTTTGTCGTCCAGGGAGCTTCAATTCTTTTGACCCCACAGGCACACACACACACACYCGTAAACTCACAAATACATGCATCACCGCAGTCACGCAAACGCATCCTTCGTCTTGCACGTGGAAAACAAGAGTCTCTTTGGGGCCGTTGTGTAATTTCGATGTCTCTTTCCCTTGTAGTTAAAACAGCAAAACACAGGATGTTGAGTCTCCAAGCTGCGGTCCCCCCCCCAGAGAACTCAGAGCAGAAAAAACACGGCAGAAAGCAGAGGAGGGGAAAACTGATGACGGGCCTCTCCCCCACACTTTAACCCGGCTCGGAGCTGAAGTCATATGTACAGATGCTGGTGTTTCAAAAGCAGAAACAAGATTCAGTCCACTTTTCTCGTATGGAACACAAACACAGGAAGTGCACAGAGAGCGGGACGTTGGCGTAGGCTCCTTGGGGTTTTTTTTTTTTTTCTTTTACCATAAAAGATTCGGGCTCAGATGCGGTTCGGTTTCAGGGGCACAAGACAGTGAAGTGTTTGGTGTGTTTTGGGGGGATGCGAGCCGGGAGACGACAGAGAAAGAGAACTAAAAGCGAGAGAAAAACAGCTGTTTTTATACTGCAGACGTGGAGAACAGAAATGAAAAGGCTCGGTGAAGTACTGCATGTGTCACGGAGGGACGAGAAAAAAGAGATGAGGAAATAGTTTTGTCTCTGTCCACGAGCGTCTGGTATTCATCTGTCAGCTCCTCTCGGCCGTTCCCTCATTCCAGCGCAGAGTCCTCGTGTCGTGTGATCATAGGTTAGGTAGTGATCTGATCTGCGCATGCGTTGCTCTGTGTGTGTGCGTGTTTTATTTGTGTGTGTGTTTTTTTTTGTGTGTGTATGTACATGCTTCAGTTTGTGGGTTTGATCTTGATTGTCAGTGCTGGAGAATTAAAGCTTTACTGTCCAAAGCTGGCAGCTAAATTCTCACCCTTCATCTCAGTCTCTCACAAAGAAGTCCCCTTAAAAAATATGTTTGAAAATCTGTAAAAGTTCACACCTAAAGAAAAAATAAACACACATACACACACAGACAGGAAATTAGATAAGAAGAAAAGGTAATATAATCATCTTTTTAAGTGATTTAAAATCACTGAATTGAACTCACTTAGTTTAGTGCTAAAATTAGTTCATGTTCTTTTATAATAACCTCACCATTTGTGGGATATTTCATTGTTCTATCCAAATTCTAAAATATATTTAACATATGCCATGATAACAGGGTTAAAATGGAGACTCCTACATTTAGTTTGAGTAAATAATGAAGAATTTTAAGTGATATTTAATTAGAAAAGTTAAGATAATCAAAACTAAATCTTGTATTAAATCATTTATTAGGAATCCTTTGCAGCTTGGCTCATTTCTGATGCTTTACTAAAGTTGTTCTGCAGCTTTTAGAAGTTGTTAGTTTGGTTTTCTGGGTTTTAGTTAATGAGATGCTTCACCACTGATCAGGTCATTGATTTAACCCAGGGTCCTTTCATCAAGTTTTTGTTGTCTTGTTTTACTTTCAAACCATTTTCATTCACCTTTGCTGCTTTTGGTTGAACCCAAACTGACACCAAATCTGTAAACACTTCAGAATTTGAAGAGGTTTAATGGAGGAATATAATGGAACCATGTTTGTGCCATCGCCCTCGTCTAAGTGATTCACATAGATGTTGTGAATTATTATTWTTTTTTTAAATCAGATGTCTGGTTTACATTGATGTCGAGGTCATATTAAGGACACTGTTCAAGAACTTAAGATGTTTTGGGCTAAGTCTAAGCCAGGGTTAGAAATTGTTTGTGGATGACCCTTTATGCTTGGAAGCATTTTGATGTATCCAACTTCATCTGATTCTTTCTTGTCTGATTTCACCAAACTGTTGAATTAGCCTCTCCTTATGTCCCCTCCATTCATCTATGTCTGGTGCGTTACTTATAATTTTTGCAACCTTTTTCACCTGCATTAAAGTGATCCATGATTACTTGTAACATTAGATATTACGTGATAAACATTTACTTAAACTGTAAAACAAAGACTGTAAAAATACTGCAGGCTGTTTAGTTTTGTCACACAGACGGCATCATTTTATTCGCACTGCAAAGCATACAGGGTAGGGTTGGGCAATATTGGCAAAAAAATTAATCACGATTAATTGTGGTATTTAGCCGATAATGATTAATTTGACGATTAATCCCCTGGAGTCCCTGGACACCCCTATTTCATAGTCACATGACCAATTTAGTGGGAAAGATTTGCTCTTCATAAAAATCTGTTCCAAATTGTGTCAAAATTACAGACTTCAGGCTATACATCAAATTTTAAATTGTGTTGATAGATAAATTACAGAACTTTTTTTTAATGTTCGTTATATTTGAAGCTGAGAGGAGCAGTGAGCGGATTCTACCTGTTGGCATTAATCGTATTAATTGTCAAGTGCCAAAAATTAATCGATTAATGTTTTTCTGACGATTAATCACACACGATACGATTATGCCCAACCCTAATACAGGGTAAACAATGATGCTGACTAGGTGTTCCGGCGCAAAGCTGTTTTAAGCTCTTATCCACCCTGAAGGTTAATCTTAGACAATCTCTGATGATCAACCCTTTTAAATGAAACCAGAGCGCCTTCACAGACAGGAGAGAGTAGAGATCACTCAGCCTGCAACTGGGAATGTGCATAGAGGACAACAGAGCTGCTTCATAGAAGGAGAACCTCAGTTTAACCTGATAGCTTTCACGTTAGCGCCGAGGTCATACCTACATCTATGGGAATACTGTATAGGGTTTGCTATGCATAAACCAATGTCACATACAGTACATTAGTAATATATATATATATATACAGTGGGGAGAAAAATTATTTGATACACTGTTGATTTTTCAGGTTTTCCCACTTGCAAAGCTTGTAGATGACTGTAATTTTTATCATAGGTACTCTTCAACTGTGAGTGATGGAATCTAAAACAAAAGTCCAGAAAAATACAATGTATGATTTTTAAATAATTAATTTCCATTTTATTGTGTGAAATAAGTATTTGATCATCTATCAACCAGTAAGAATTTTGGCTCTCACAGACATGTTAGTTCTTCTTTAAGAAGCCCTCCTGTTCTCCACTCATTACCTGTATTAACTGCACCTGTTTGAACTCGTTACCTGTATAAAAGACACCTGTCCACACACTCAATCAATCAGACTCCAGCATCTCCACAATGCCCAAGACCAGAGAGCAGTCAAGGAATAAAATCCTGCAGTGCACGCAAGGTGCCCTTCCTCAAGCTAACGCATGTCAAAGCCCGTCTGATGTTTGCAAATGACCATCTGAATGATCCAGAGGAGGAATGGGAGAAGGTCATGTGGTCTGATGAGACAAAAATAGAACTTTTTGGTTTAAACTCCACTCGTCATGTTTGGAGGAAGAAGAATGATGAGTACAACCCCAAGAACACCATCCCAACCGTGAAGCATGGCGGTGGAAACATCATTCTTTGGGGATGCTTTTCTGCAAAGGGGACAGGACGACTGCACCATATTGTGGGAAGGATGGATGGGGCCATGTATCGTGAGATTTTGACCAACAACCTCCTTCCCTCAGTAAGAGCACTGAAGATGGGTCGTGGCTGGGTCTTCCAGCATGATAACGACCCAAAACACACAGCCAGGGCAACTAAAGAGTGGCTCCGTAGGAAACATCTTAAGGTCCTGGAGTGGCCTAGCCAGTCTCCAGACCTGAATCCAATAGAAAATCTTTGGAGGGAGCTTAAAGTCCGTGTGGCCCAGCGACAGCCCCGAAACCTGAAGGCTCTGGAGGAGATCTGTATGGAGGAGTGGGCCAAAATCCCTGCTGCAGTGTGTGCAAACCTGGTCAAGAACTACAGGAAACGTCTCATCTCTGTAATTGCAAACAAAGGTTTCTGTACCAAATATTAAGTTTCATTTTTCTGGTGTATCAAATACTTATGTCACACAATAAAATGGAAATTAATTATTTAAAAATCATACATTGTTTTTTCTGGATTTTTGTTTTAGATTCCATCACTCACAGTTGAAGAGTACCTATGATAAAAATTACAGTCATCTACAAGCTTTGCAAGTGGGAAAACCTGAAAATCAACAGTGTATCAAATACTTGTTCTCCCCACTGTATATACTGTATATATATATATACTGTATACACATGACAATCGTTGCTGAGCTAACATCATTAGCTAAATGCTAACGCAAAAGCTCAAAGTTTAAACTGAAGCAGCTCTGTTGTCATCTCTACTCTCTCCTGTCTGTCAAGGCYTTCTGGTTTCATTTATAAGAGCAGATTGTCAGACATTGTTCAAGATTAAACTTCAGGGTGGATAAGAGCTCGTACAGCCTCGCACCAGAAAACGTAGTGAATGTCGTCATTTACCCACTATGCTTTCTGGTGTTAATAAATTGATGTCATTTTACTTTATTTTTTTACTTGATGAACTTAAAGTGCCTGTGACATGCATATTCTGCAAATACAAAAAGTCAAAGAAAACATCTTTATATTTAAGAAACTTAGAATAATATACAATTTTACCCATTTCGTCACATAACCTGCATATTTTCCTTTGAACTTGGCTCAGCCAAAGTGAAACAGGAAGTGACATCATAGGGAAACTCTTCAAGAAAGAAATTTCCCTTGTCTTTGTTTATTGATGCAATAGTATTTGAACACTGGTTCTTCATCTCTCTGATAGTGACTCAAAATAATTTAAAGATTTTCTCTATCAATGTTAGCTGTAGCAATGATCTGATTACATGTAGACATTCCCCTTTGTCATCACTTCCTGTTACTTCTCATGTGAATATCTCAACAATTGGTCAACTCAGCAGCATGAAATGTTTTCAATGTTATGTTTCCAAAAATGCTTTTAAATTTCTTACAAAAATTTGATATCACAGGCACTTTAAAAAAAAACTAAGATTTATTCTAGACCTGTCCATCCAACATTTTCTTATTTGTCAAAAGAGCTGCATTCCCAAAACCTCCTCTCTAACTTGGATATGTAAATTGCAGATTACAGGTGAAATGGATGAAGGTAACAAATATGAACTGCAGAAATGTTTGCAACAGAGCTTCCTGTGGAGGACAGTACAACACAGCTTTACAGACTAGGTGAAACAATCCAATAATCTCTTTATGGTCTGTTTTATTTGTTAAATAAAACAGATTTATATCACAGGTTTTTTTATTATGGTATCTCAAAGCATCTGGAGTGTTTCCGATTAGCATTACCTATTTACAGCCGTTTATGCAGCTGTAAAACTTAATTGTGAAATGCTCATGCCCTCAGCTGTCTGCTTTATGTTACAGTCTTAAAATATACTTGATGGATTGACTTAAGAGCCACTTTTAAACCTGTGATSCTCTTTATTAGTGGTTTTTGTTTGTTTTTTGTTCATTGGTGATTGAAATTCTGTTTGAAATGTCCACCAAGGTTTAAGCGATGGTCATGAACAATAAACGAACTCACCTGYTGTTACAGGCTGGTGACGCTGAAGCTCTCATCACTTGCTGGATCCAGAAGCTGGCACAGCACCCCGCCGCTCTGAGCCGCCTGCGAGGGGTAGCGGTGTCCCATCCCCTGGTACTGCTGGGGTAGGGAGTAGCCACCCGTGTCCTCTGGGTGAGGCGAGCAGTCTAGAGGGGGTTTGGGGTACGGGGAGAGAGGCAGGGGACCCTGTCGAAGGCCTGTGCTCATGGCGTGAGGGGTCAGGTCGCGCTTTTGCGGCGTCATGGCGGASGGAGGGCTGCGCTCCTCGTACAGCGCCGGCGTGGAGTGCAGGCTGAGGCCYGGGTTGGAGTGCGTGTGGGAGGGGAGGTGCGTGCTGTTCGAGTGCGGGAGGAGGCCGCTCTGCAGGTGGGAGGGGGCGCTGCTGTGRGAGCTCAGGTTCGTGAGGGGCTGCGTGCTGTGATGCTGCGGGTCGTGAGRGCTCAGGTGGGCGTGCGTGTTGACCGTTTGGGGGTTGGTGTTTCTGTGAGGACTTGTGTGGGGGTTGCTGTGGGGGTGTCCGGCTGTATTRGAGTGCGGGCTGGGGCTGCCGCTGTGCGACGTCTGTCCGTACCAATAGGGAGAGCCGCAGTAGCTGGGGGAATCGTACTGCGAGAACTGCGGGTCTTTCTGGGGGGGCCGGGGCGAGGGACTGAGCGCCGTGCCACAGTGGGGAGTCAGACGTGGCGAGGGGGAGCAGGACGGGGAGAAGGTCCGGGAGGGGAGAAGGTGGTAAGACTGGGGAGGAGGAGGCGTAGGTTTGGGGGGGTAAGGGGGAGAGGAGACGCTCGGTGAGAGGGAGGAGGAGGAGTCACCAGGGTATAAGGCTGGATATCGCTCCTCAGAGGAAGGGGTGGAGGGGTGGGCTGAATAAGGCGAGGGGTATTCACAGGTGTCCTGGAGGTAGCTGGCAGCTGGTGCAGGATTAGGTGTGGCCAAAGGAGAGAGGCTGCTGCTGTCTCCACTGTAATAATCCAGCCCCTCCTGGAACAACCCGGACCCCTCTGGACCTCCGGCGGACACTACCGGTCCCARAGAGGCCGCCTTGCCCCTTCCTTTGGACCCCGACGGACGCTCCCTCTGGCAGGGAGACAGACCCCCTCTACCACCTCGAGAGCCTCGGCCCCGTCCTCCAACCCCTCCCCGCTTAGGTCCAGCAGCGGGTGTTGGGGAGGGACTGGATGGGGAGTCAGAGTGTAAGGCAGAACCCCCTTCCTTTTCTAACTGCGGTTCAGTTCGTTTTCTGCGGCCCCGGCCGGGTTTGCTGGTTCCTCCGCCTTGGAAAAGAACATCTTGGCTCCAGTTGTACGACGGTCCCGAGGCACTCTCGTGCCAGTCCATCATCAGTTTCTCCAGACTGGACAGACTAGACTGACCCCCTCCTCCTGTGACGAACGCCGGCTCGATCTGTTTAAACGTCCCACCTGTGGAGCCGGGTCCGCTAACAGGGGCTGTAGAACCCGGATGAGAGGAGTCCGAAGAGGACTCTGAAAGGCTTTCYGGAAAGGGTTGTCGCTTAGCCTTCTGGGGAGTGTAGTTTGAAATATCCAAGATGTCTTTGGACTCATTGGAGCCATATTCACCATATCCATGGTACTGAGACCCAAAGCTGTCAGATGACCAACCYCCGTAAGCTTGTCTGAGGGGGGGAAAAAGACGCTTTTAACACAAATGAAACACAAATGTGAAAGAATAAAGCCCTTGATTGTTCTGCACCTCATCTAGTTATTAGACACATCATGTGTTTTAAAGCCTTTTTCACATTTAAATCATACAGTTGGGGTCTATATAAATTGGAAKGGCATTCTCAGCCCTCCTCCAGCTTCCAGAGCGGTTCATTCTAGTTTGGTAGAGYGGTTTACMWCTATATAGCTGCGCAGAAACTTCTTATTTACAAATTCATTAAAATATGTCAACAATGAAGACTTGTCCATCCAGCCTTACATGTTGGAGCCAGAGTCTGACAGWAGACCACCAAACTGTAGTTAGTAAGTCCAGAACTTATTTGGCAATTCTATRTGTCGTAAATAATTTGACGCAATTGTTCAGAAAACATCACAGAAAATAGGTCCAAAGGAAGGGGCAAAATATGAACCCAACAGAATATAAAGATATCTACTCTTCTGCACTTCTACAGACCAAGTACAACAAAATGCGTTTAACGGCTAAAAACGTGGATTTTTGCATATGTCTTCTTTAATATTTACACATTTTCTTGAAGTAATTGAATGTTCATCTAAAATGTTAACAGATCACACAAGATCTCAAAACAGCTACAAGTCAATATTGTCWAAGCATTACATGATCCTAGATTAAAACACTTGAAACATGAAAGGCTGTGGGAGATCTACATTATTTTAAGAAACATAAGGCCTTTTGAAGAAATTATTGGGGTTTATGTAATACACTGATTGTAATTACACTACACATAGTATAGTTTGTTTTATGATAGAACTGTAATGACTGATAAATGTGATTTATAATTAACTTGATGATTCTATATTAATAGGTACATGTCTGGTAACAAATACAATACATATTTGTATTTTTAAAAATCATTAGGATAGGTTTTTAATTTTTTGTGGGCATGGCTTTGACCAAAATGATAGGGACCCCCTCCCGACTGATGACGTAATTAWTATGGGCGGAGTCATTCAGCCTGATTTCCTGGCATCCCATTAAACCGGTTATCAGCAAGAGCTCTCGGTTCTGTATGGTTTTCCTTTACACTCACATTGCATTTGCACATTCTCAATAAGATTTCGCACACATCCTGGTAATGAACACGAAATAACGTCAATTTCTTTCACTTTTTTAAAGAGTTGTTTTGCCTGCTGAGTAAATTTTCTGACCAGTTTACCTGCAGCTCCACTGGTTGGAGTTGAACTGCTTGTAGCCTTCTGGAGCAGAGGAGCTGAAGGCACTACTCCTGGGCACAGACATGTACCCTCCCCCAGGTGATGTCGGTCCTATTGAATCCCCCCGCACCATGGAGGAATGGCTATATCCACCGTAGCCTCTCTTGGCCGCTGCCTGGTAGCTTGAATAACCCATCTGACTAACAGGTAAGCCTTTAGCACTCTGAGCAGATCCYTATGAGTAGCTGCAGTCTGATGACCTCTGCGGAGCCGCAGGAGAGGAGCAGGAGTAGCCGGTGGAGTAGTGACCATAAGAGGACGGATGTGGGGAGCTAGGCGAGTGTGAGAGGGACGGGGGAGTGGATTTGGGATAGGTAGAAGTGGTGGGAGATGTTTGGGCCAGGCTGCTATAACCATACGGAGGCCTCGCTGAGGAGCAATGCGCCTGTGCCGAAGCCTCSGGCCCCGCACTCGCTCCTTTGGAGCTCCACTTGGGGAACGGAGGAGACCAGCTGTGACTGGCAGCCGAGCCGGACGGCTCAAAACCAGGAGCGGTTGAAGATTTGCGGGAGCCTGACTGCGAGGAGGAGATGTCCAGCAGGTCTGAGGAGTCATCGGAATCCAGCAGGGATCGAAAGTAACCAGCGAAAAGGCCCTGTGAGTCCTCGCCGGRCGGCCCCATCCCCTTATGTCCCCCTAGACTGCTGTACGCACCCCCTCGCCCGAGCTCACAGCTGGAGAAGCCCCCCCTTGAAGATCCACAGAGCTGATACCCACCCAGACCTTTCTCTTTAAC